CTTAGAGAAACTGTTGTTCCTGATACTCCTGAAGAATATATTAAAATTTATACCGGTGAGTAATATTTTAATTTTTAAATTTTATATTCTAAATATTATTAATTCTAAATTATGTTTGGTTTTAGAATGTTGGGATGGGGAACCAGATAATCGTCCAACTATATATCAAGTAGTTGATTGGCTAAAGGCAATAATTACAAAATCAGATGTAATAGTAGAAAATCATGAAATATCAAATGAACAAGAACTTAATGAGACTTCTTTAAGTACTAATAGTTCAGAATTACAAGGAGATTTATCTCAACTTATTCAAAATTTTGATAAAATGAATACTAAAGAAATTGATTCTATGGCAATATCAAGTGAACAAGAAAATCTTTCAACTGAAAAAGATTTTAACATTATAGTTGATGAAATAAATGATTTTATTTATAAATTAGAAAATAAAGGAATCAGTTTGAAATTATTAAAGCAGCAAGTTATTGAATATTTTAATAATCATAATTTAAATTCACAAGAATTTTATAATTGGTTATTAAATAATCAAAATAGTTCAAATTCTATTTTTATTCTTGGATATTTTAATTTTTATGGAATTATAACAAGTAAAAATGATGATAAAGCATTTAATTTGTTTATTAATGCATCAGAAAAAAATCATACATTAGCACAAAATTTTGTTGGTGAGTGTTATTTTTATGGATATGGAACTATAAAAAATAAAAAATTAGCTTTTGAATATAGTGAAAAAGCTGCAAATAATGGAAATATAGGTGCAGTGTATAATCTTGGTATTTTATATAAAAATGGAATTGGTGTTGAAAAAGATTATAATAAAGCTTTTGAATTGTTTAAACAATCAGCTGAAGAAGGACATATAATAGGATTAATGATGTTGGGATATTGTTATAATAATGGTATTGGAACTAAAATTGATAAACAAAAAGCATTTGAATTATATCAAAATGCTGCAAATTTAGGACATGATTTAGCACAATATAATCTTGCTTTAATGTATGAAAAAGGAAATGGAATTGCAAAAGATATAGATAAAGCGATTTATTGGTATGAAAAATCTGCCAAACAAGGATATGAGTCAGCAAAAAATAAATTAAAAAGACTTCAAAATAAGTTTTTTAATAAACTTTTCTCATTCAAATTTTAAAATTTTAGATCATTAGTTTACAGTATTTATTTTTATAAAAATTTACACAATAGTAAACACACTGCCCTAAAATAATGATAGTTAAAATTTTTACCTATTTTATTCTATATACATTCTTTTATAATTAAACATATTTGGTGCTGTTATGATATTTTCAATTAAAATGACTTTCAACATCGGAAATTTTAAAATGTAGAAGTTTAATGTTGCATTTCTTTCTATTTTCGAAAAATAAATTTATATAGGAACCGAAAAAGTTCAATTTGTAAAAGATAATAAAAAGTAAACATAAATTTAGAGCTAAGTTAAAAACCGTTACTAGTTGATTTTTAATATTTTATATAAAATGATTTCTATCAAAATCGTTCCGGTTTCTTTCAGTTTCCCATAAAAAAAAAAAATTAAATATATAACTAAATAAAAAAAGTTATTAATCCTAACAATACTAATCTAAAAATTACTATGAATACTTATAATTTAGTGGATTTGATAAATAGTGGAATTTTACAACAAGTAAATAAAAATTAATATTTCAGACACAAAAATTTTCATTTTATTATTGTATTACTGTTATCAATATTGTACGAAAATATTTTTAGTATTACAATTCTAATTATAACAGATAATATACTTTTCTGGAATTTTCTTCACATCTTTAGTTAAACTAGGTTTCAATAGGATTTTTGATTTTTTTTATTATTTATTCAGAAAATAAACATATATCTGATGGCTAATAACTATATACAAACCTACATTTATATATTTTCTTTAAAATTCTGCTTATCTTTACCAGTCTTAGCACGTTTTTTCTTCCTCATTTTCGGGAAGCCTTATCGAACAAACTGTATTTATTCACCGTACTCTTTTAATTCTTCTTTCGTCGGTCTTTTTGTTTCCTAATACATTACTTTCAACGATTGTCCCATAACTATAAATTTTTGTCTGTCTAAATTTTTCTTCTTAATATCTTCTATCACGTGATTATTTCTCTCCTTTTGTTTACTTGTCTAAAGTCTAAACTCACTAATTATCTGTCTGTACCACCTCTTCTTGATTCGTATATTCATCTAACTTCTTTCGTTGTTTCATCATTCAGCATCCCTAATCTATATTTTATTCACTATAAGATTTTTTGGTGTAATAGGGGGGGAAAATGTATAATATTGTAGTAAAGAAAACCGGGTAATCTCAGTCTGTTACACAAGAGCGCGATCGATCTTTAATATATTTTGTGCCTCGTATAATAGGATAGCATAGCAACACGTTGCTTTGTAATATATAGATAAATTGATTTGTAGTAAATAATTTATTCTTTAATATTCACGCGCTTCATAAGAGTTTAAAAAAAAAAATTAATGACTCTAAATATGAACGTTATGCCGATCATTTTCAAAAAAGAATATAATTTTTGACGAAAATTTTTTTTTTTTTAAAAAAAAGTATATGATGTTCACTATAAAAGATTTTAAAATACACATTACATCACAATCGGATTTATTTAATCACACATTTAGGGATAAATTTTCATATATTTCGGAAAAAGGAAAGATAAAGGCGCGATTTGTCAAAGATAGCCAAAGTTTACTTCCATGTCAGATTATTTCCTTTTACAAAAATTTTTAATAATTCGTTTATATACTAACAAGAGGTCATTTTCATGGGGGAGCTTGACATGCTTTTAAAAGATCTTTTAAGTGAATGTTATTGTAAAAAAAAAACGACTTCAATTTATAAATATACAACTAGAAAGAGAAATAAGAAAATTTTAATTCATGGTAAATGGATAGAATTTTGGTTAATTTAGTTGTAGTATTTAAAATTCTTTTAGATTTGTAAGTTAAAGATATAAAAACTACAAAAAATGTGAAATTAGTCAAAAAAAAAACCACAAATAGCTATAAATTGATAGGTACTAACACATTAGTTTAGGTTAATTTTTCGGTCTGCAGCTGTGTTATTAGGTATTCATTCAATTTTAGTTACGTTTTAGCGTAACATAGTGGTCTGGTATAGTACCCCATACACTAATAGTATTTTAGTAGATAGAAGGATATGAAATTTATTCAGTATGAAACAGCGCAGTTCATGAATCGAACCAGATGAACCTGATTCAGTTCAAACTTTTTTTTCGAACTGAACCGAATTCATCAGCAGTCTGGATTTGATTTGTTAAATAAATCTACTATTTACGCTCATCAAAATTAAAACGTATTTCTGGCAATCCGGTTAATATATACTTTTCAATAAATATGATTTAAAAAAATGAAATCTAAAGTTATGTTTCAATTCACTTCCATTTATTATAAATTAGTTAGTTGAAATTGACATCACTGAACAGAATATTTGAACTAACAGGACCCAGAAATATATATATAGGGGTCAGGTGGCGAAAAATTTTTTTACTATGAGCTGTACGCAGAGACTTTTTATATGAGTAGTACGCATAATTGACACCTGATATTGAAAATCCTGCAAAAATACGCAAATAAAATTTCAGACATTGAGTAATTAATTATTTTATCATGGCTTCTATATTATTTAAAACCAAGTACTAATGTGAAAAAATAGAATTTACCATTTTTTTAATAATATTTATCTAAAATTTCACTTTTTAACCCTTAGAAATTTCTTTCAATTAATACTAAATATTACAATGCGGTTAATTAAATAAGTACATACAGTAAATATATTATATATAAAATTAGCCAAATTTAGGCCAAAAATACGCAAACTAATTTTTTTACATATAAAAATTTTGATAAAAAATACGCAATCTTGATGACCTAACTATAGATGAAAAATTCTAAAATTGTACACAAATCAAAACTTTACTCCACTATGATGGCGACGCATCTGTGTACCCTACCCCTGTATATATATTTCTGGGTCCTGAACTAACTAACCATAGTTTAGTTCACTCAGTGATAGCTGAACCAAACTAGTTATCATATGATAATCAGTGCGACATTCTGACCGGAACATACTTGTACGAGTTTAATACTATATTTAGATTAAAAGATCATCAATTTCAGACGAAACTGTGTTACATGTATCAGTATATTGATAATAACATTTTTATAAAATTGTTAATAAATACATCATTCTTTCTTCGTCCCGAATATTGTAAAATGAAATGCAGTATATGTGAAAAATCTACAATTCAACGTTGTTCGAGATGTCATACTAAGTATTACTGTAGTAAATCGTGCCAAAAAAAGGACTATTCTAATCATGTACAAGAGTGTCCTTCAAAGTCTGTGAATATTCTTGTTGATTATGTTTATAAAGATTTGATTCCTATTGACAACGCAGTGCGATATGAATACGGCTTTTACAACTGCATGCATCCCGGGGAACTATCAAAGCTTTTAGGCTTGTATCAGGGCCTTATAAAGTATTTAAATTGCAGTAAATCTCAGCTCCATTCATGGTGGGAAAGTGGGAATTTGGCATTTCACATTAAAAAGACTTTTGAAGATGCGAACTTCATCAACGCATACTATCAATGGTTCTTAAAAAATGAACATGTGTTACATGGTCTACGAAAATACGAGGGCGAAAAATCTGATAAAGAAATAGCGGATAAGGTTTATGGAATGGTTAAACCATATCTTTCCGAGCATGATCAAACAATTCCCATCAAATCTCTTCCAGAATCAAAACGTAATGTTTTTGCATTCTATGTGACAATACTCTGTGGATATATTGTAAAGATTGAAGAACAAAATTGGATTGACTTTGGGTTTTGCTCCTGTAAATCTGGTGATGATTACAATGATTACTTAAGATTGACGGAAGAAAATCGGTTGGCTAGTTTTTATGAAGATCTAATCGTTCAAAAAGGCTGTAAGGTCGATGAATTCCATGATGCTTACTTATCTGGAACAATATTGAATTTGTTAAGGAGAAATTGTAGCAGTAATGATTGCAATTGGCTATCAGAAAACAAGATAGAAGTTCGTGGATACCATCAACCAAATAAAAGTGTTTACGATCTCAAGCAGTATGCGTTGAGTGAATCTGCACGTCTCGTGCCTCCTGTGTATGTAGATTATGGCTTTATAAATTGTCGTACGGAAGATGAGAAAAGGCAATTTAAACATATGTATAGGAAGTTAATCAAAACTCCTCGATTTGATCCACGGGATTTACATGAAGCTTGCTTAGCAGGAAAAATATTTGATTATGTCAAATCCATTCTTCCTGATGAAGTATTGAAAGCCGAGCTCTTTAAAAATCCGTATCCTTTGAAAGATATTTGATCAACCAACTGATTATATTTTATGTATTTGTTATTTGTATTTGCACCGTTTCATATATATATATATATTTGCCTTTTAAGAAATTGAATATTTATGTGTATTTTTTATTCTAACCAATCATTAAATAAATAACATGATATCTCACTTGTGAATCAAATTTGTCCAATTACAATTTACGCTTTTATAACACTAATGATGGGGGCGCAAAAATGATATTCTTTGCAAAAATCAAAGAAATTTATATATAATAATTTGTGTAATATTTAAGATGATAATACATAAAAAACCATAAAATAACTAATATAAAAAAAAAATTAGATTATATGTGTAGTGTACTAAATTTTGTCATTAAGAGTACTGCTAGAAGTTATAATGAACAAGCGCTATAAAAATTCATGAAGCCATATGCATTCTTATAAATAAAATAAAATCATAGCTTGTAAGCGCCGTTATGAAATATCGCGCATATCATTTAAAACAATGCACGTTGCGCCAACTGCACGGACCCAATCGATCCAATCTCCATCACGGTTGCGATTTGAAAGATTAATTTAGAGAAGAAAGTGATTAATGGTCATATTTTTATGAGTAGAAATGATTATGATAAATATTGTCTATATTTTGGATCATTTTTATTAAAACGTTGGCAGTAACAATATAAATAAAGAATAAGATGAAAATATCAACTATCATCTACAGTTACCATCTTTTTATTATTATTTCTTTAGTATGTTATACTTTCAATTCCTTCATTAGTAAGAACTGACATGACTTTTTTATGTTTGATCACTTTTGTACACTTTGCTATATTTTTTTCCCACGTATTTTCTTTCAATTTAAAAAATCGTGAATCACAAAAAAACAAATGATGTAACATTACTTAAAAGTTTAAAATGTAAGATCTAATTATAAATTTGTTTATTTTTGTTACGTACGCATATTTTTTTAATTTTTAATTTTAAATTGATTTTGAGGGTTTTTTATGATTCGCTACTCGCATCGACAATTCTAGATCTAAACACATCAGAGGATTATAGATCATCCCAATAATGATAATAATAGATAAGCGATTATCGACTTTGACCTTAGTGATACTCCATAAATATATTATGTTTATAAAAGTTGATATATGACCATGGACGGTCATAATTTATTAAACTGATTTTCGAACTGAACTAATTCACACTCAATTTGTTCACACTTTGAATCAGTGAATCACGATTCAGTTGAAGCACAACTTTTTTCTCGAAATAAACCAAACTAAAAAAATTTATCAATTTCCTTTGATTTGTTGCTTTTATACTGTATAATTAAATAAATTTAATATTAAATTTTACATAAATCATTTACACTCAAAATTAAAACATAATCAATATTTATTAATAAATTTATTTACAATTAAAAATGGAACAAAAAATTTATAGAATTTGTTTAAATAAAATAAAAAAACTTTTTACAGTAAATTTATTACGTTACCAATTATTTTCATCATAATTAATTGATATTGAATCGAATTTTCATCAAAAGATTTTATTATAGTTCAGTTCGGTTTACTGGATTGAACATTTGAAATAAAACCATCGCTCAAAAGATAAACCATTTCAGTTTTGGTTCGAGTTTAAACCATGATCATTAATTAATTTAAAAAAATCTTATTAACGTTTTCGTACTAATTTTTACATTTCTTAAAAAAAACACATCGCTGATAAGGTTAGACCACTGTGTACAAAGAAAATTAAATAATAATGTAAGCATGTTTCAATGATTTTAATGTTTATATATTGAGTATCATTATTATCATACGATAACTTGTGCGACATTCTGACGGAACGTACTTGTACGAGTTTAAACTATATTTAGATAAAATTTCGGACCGTCATGGGGCTTAATTGTGTTACATGTATCAGTCAATATTTATATATTTATATTGACATTTTTTACGAAATTGTTGGTAAATACATCATTCTTTTTTTCGTCTCGAATATTGTAAAAAAAAATGAAATGCAGTATATGTGAAAAACCTACAACTCAACGTTGTTCGAGATGTCATACTAAGTATTACTGTAGTAAATCGTGCCAAAAAGAAGACTATCCTAATCATGTACGAGATTGTCCTTCAAGGTCTGCGGAAATTCTTGTTAAGGATGTTTTTAGTGATACACTTCCCACGAACTACGCGGTGCGATATGAATACGGCTTTTGCAATTGCGTATATCCTGAGGAAGAATCAATGCTTTTAGGCTTGTATGGTGGTCTTATAAAGTATATAGAATGCAGTGCTTCTCAGCTCCATTCATGGTGGAAAAGTGGAAATTTGCCATTTCACATCAAAAAGGCTTTTGAAGATTCGAACACCACTAGCGGATACTATCAATGGTTCTTAAAAAATGAACATGTGTTGCAGGGTCTACGAAAATACGAGGGCGAAAAATCTAATAAAGAAATAGCGAATAAGCTTCATGCAATGGTTAAACCATATCTTTCCGAGCATGATCTAACAGTTCCCATCAAATCTCTTCCAGAAACAAAACGTATTGTTTGCTTGTTCTATATAACTATACTCAGTGATCATATTCCGGGGATTGATCAACAAAATTGGATTGACTTTGGGTTTTGTTCTTGTAAATTTGGTAGTGATCATTTAGGAGAGATAGAAGAAAGACGGTTGGCTGATTTGTATAAGGAACTAATTATTCAAGAGGACTGTAAGGTCGATGAATTCCATGATGCTTACTTATCTGGAACAATATTGGATTTATTAAGGAAATATTGTAGCAGTAATAATTGTAATTGGTTATCAGAAAACAAGATAGAAGTTCGTGGGCATAATCAACCAAATAAAAGTGTTTACGACCTCAAGCAATATGCGCTAAGCGAATCCGCACGTCTCGTACCTTCCGTGAATGTAGATTATGGCTTTATTAATTGTCGTACGGAAAGTGAGAAAAGACAACTTAAACATACATATAGGAAGTTAATCAAAACTCCTCGATTTGATCCACGAGACTTGCATTATGCTTGCATAGCAGGGAAAACATTCGATTATGTCAGATCAATACTTCCTAATGAAGGATTGAAAGCCAATCTCTTTAAAAATCCGTATCCTTTGAAAGAAATTGATTAATCTTCTACTAGTGCTGATGATACTTATTATTTATATATGATCTTGTCATTTTATGTATGTCATATATTGACTATATATTTTTAAAAAACCTTCTATATATATTGTATGTATACTTTTTTATATTCTTACCAATCTTTTAACTTATTTATTTAACCTATATGTACTTAAATAAACAACGCAATATAACTATAACTTACACGTTATAATATTGTGATGTAAAACATCATTTTGATAAAAAGCTTAGTATGTGCTACATCGATAGTAAATGAACAAATTTATTTATTTAATTTAGAAGAATTAGTTTATGTGAAGAATATTTATAAATTGTTAATTTTTATAATAAAATCGGTTATTACTACAGTAAATTTCTGGTTTAATAATTAATATAATACTAAATGTTTATAAATTTATATAACCATCTTTTTTACATCTTACTATCATCATCATATTTCCAAATTAAAAATTTATCATCGACAAATTTCCTAAGATTATTTGTTTTAAATTTATTTTCAAAACCTTTATAAATTGTATCTTGATCTTTTCTACTTTCTTGCCATTCTTCAAAATTTTTTGATCTTCCAATATAATAAATATATTTCGGATCCGGTTCATGAGGTCGCAAGTGAATATGATGTAATGCTTCATAATCAGCTATTTGGTTTGCTCTATATCTTAATAAAGCTTGTCTTCCTTTTGTCGCTGCTTGTTCATATATACCACTGAAAAATTATGAAGAATAATTTTTTTTTTTTTTTTTTAGTATAAAAATGTATTGTGTGTAATACTTTTATATATACTTGTATATATAGATCTCTCTTACCTCATTAAAGTGATAAACATATTTTGTAAAATAGTTATAAGGAAGATACTCGCAATTAAACTTAATACATCAATAGCCCAAAAGTCAAATACATCACTTTGTATCCAGTTACCAAGATATGTAGCTTTCATTGATGTTAGAAATTCGTAAAATGGGTTGTCATTAGTGTTACGTGGATCAAAATCGGATTTAATATCAATATTAAATCTTTCATTTGTTGTAGTGCTTATAGCGTTCCCACTAAATGTATTATCATTGATCTTAATTATCTCCGGATTTTTAAGTAAGACTAACCTATAAATAATAATTATAATAATAATAAGTTAAATTTTTTTAAAAAAAGTACTTTTTTATATATAAGAAATGAAAACTTGGATACGATCATAACATTGTGTGTGCGAACGCAATGATTAGCAAAATCATGAATAAAATGAACGGAAATACATTTTTTATAATGATTATAATATAATATATGTAAATCGACATATCTAAAGATAATAATAATAATAATAAATTAAAATCTGATAAATAAAATATATGATATATAACATTATTTGTACTTGCATGATATCAATCGGAGATATAGGATCTAAATCAGATAAGATATTAGTAAATGTTTTGATAATTAAAAAAAGATGACATTTTAAAGACTTACAAATTCAATCCAAAGTAAAAAAATTGAGAAAGTTATTCCAACAACTAATCCTCTTTCGACTACTTTAACACTTCCAAATCCATCAGAAAATTGAAAATGAGTAAGCATGATAGTCATTACAACTGTTGGAAGTATAATCGATAGACAATCGAAATAGTTATAAATATTGGTAAAATATCTCATTCTATAATGAGCTAATTGTATGACTTCTGTTATCATTAAATATAACGCTAAATAATAAAATAATACAATTAGCGTTAATAAACAAACTTGGAATTTTCCTCCTACAATTTCATGAATTAAATACGCCCAACTAACAACCCCAAAACCAATAGCATAGATTATAAATCTAAGAAAAAGAAGTATAAAGAAAGCTCTTGCTTTTCTCCAACGAAAGTCGATAATCGCTTCTGTAGCTGGATTATCGTACATATCATCATCATTTTCGTATTTAATGACTTTTGCAAACGGGCTTAGTAAGTGATTATCGGATTTACCAACTTTGTAAAGTCGAGGGATGAATATAAACAAAAAAATATTCGTTATAATTTTCCCAATACCATAATCCGCAGATTTTCTATTATCTTTTTTAATTTCATTAGGAGTAACAGTAAACTCTGGAAGAGGCACAACACGTAAAGCTATAGGTGGTTTTTGATAATGAGTTTTGTAGAACCAACAAGAAACCTTATCAAAGATTCTTTTGCAAGGGACTTGCTGAATCCATGATTCTTTATCTGATTTCAATGTGTCTTCGGGCCTGAATGCCACAAATGTTTTGTCCTGAAAATGTCTTGATTGACAGCTCTTTGGAATAATATCATAGGGATCTTGTGCTGAAAGGTGGCCTTGATTCGCAAAGCATTCCTTGCGAAACAATTTTCTAGCATAATCATCTATATATAAAAAGCGTAAGATTCACAAATATATTTATTATAAGTGTAAAAATATAACATTAGAAACACACCATAATGATATTTGTATAGTAAAGGAAGAGCCTTAGAAACTGTGCACATCCAACCAGCAGATTCTTTTGCGTGTCTCGAATAATATTCCAGAAGATACGCAACAATAATTGTGTCTTTGAGTTCGCGCCCTATAAAATAAACATATAGACTTTCTAAGTATTCTTAATACAGCACCAACAAACGCGTTTATAAATAACATTACCTCTACAGTGGAGAATTGCCCATTCTAGATCATTAGTTAGTACCGTTTTCATAGGTTTGGATTTATCATTACTACTTTCAAAACTCCTTGGTATATGTATATGTCTCATATTATCATCATCACTTTCCTCGTTTCCAAATAGAATAAACTTAATCAAATGATCACTATCACCAAGAATTAAACTTCTCATGACATTATGTCGAACATCCAGCAATCTATATTCATCAGGTTTGTGATCAATGAATCTCCAGATTATATTATTAATATATACAACCATCTCCTCGTACTAAAAGAAAAATTTTTTTTTTTTTAAAAAAATAATAGCAATCATGACAATAACATCTTAATTAATATCTTTTAATTAGAAATAACTTACGCAGTGCTTACTAAAATAATTTATTAGTTCTTTTGCACGTTTGTTGAGATGTTCCAGTGCTTCACACGCATATCTTACCCCATTCAAATTTTTATTAATATCTTGCCATTCAATTATTTTTTTCTTCAATGTGCCACTTTCGCACCAATTTACTTTCAAGTAAAAATAATCAAGTCCAAATATAATATTTTCAATTTGCAATCTATTTTCATGTTTTTCTTGATCCACGGGAATTCCGTTTGCCCAAATAAATTCGAGAAATGGTTCTCCTTCATTAGGAAGTTTACCTTCATAAATTGGATCTGATCCTAATTTGAATCGATGCCAAATTTGCACAGTCGACCTACCAACTATAAGTTGTAAAGTTTCATTCTCATTATCACGAAGACAGAATGAATTTCTTTCACAGCTGCCCGTTATCCATGGCTCTTTTGACTTAACTATTGGATCGAAATCTTTTGTACTTTTATCAAAGTAATAAGTATGATTAGGTGAAGAATTTTCTTTATTTCCATAATTCTCCATTTTAATTTTATCTAATGTTGTTGTACCATTTATTTTTACATGACTTTTTCGTTGATTTTTTATTTTAGTATCAATTATTTTTAAGAATGACGTAACTTCACCCTTATCATTTATTTGCAAAATATTTCCTGAAGTTCTTGTCCAATTTAAGTTAAAATCTTCTATTGTGAGTGATTTATCTAACAATATTGGAGTAATTTTGCAAGTATTATATATGTCCCAAATGAGAACCTTCATTTTTTCTTCTCCAATTTTCTCACCGACTATAAGTAACTTTTCATCATTCTCGATAAATTCTAATGAATGTATTTTGTCTAATTCTCCATGAAAATTTTTCGCCGAAAATTCCAAACCATTCTCTATAAAATGCAACCTAATAAAAAATTGAAAAAAAAAATAAATTTTTTAGTATGAAATAATATGATGTGACGGATGTGACATCGAATGATCACTCACTTAATGGAATGTAATCCTCGAGTAAAACAGAATTGTAATTTCTGCTTACTAACTGAAAAAGTATATTTATTATACTTTCTTAAATGTTTGTCCCTGTTTTCTGTTCTTTTCGCCATAGTTACATGTTTCATTTTTATCAGATCATATACTACAATAAAAAAAAAAAATTATTATTCGTTTTATTAGAAAATTTGCGTTATAATTTTTACCTTCAAGTGCCTGTACTCCATTTTTATAATGCTCAACCAATAAATATTTATCGTAAAGACTGGTTATAAGTTTTTCCATGCAAATCGGAAAACTTGGAGTTTTATCTAATTCAAGTTTGATACTTTTAGGATATTCAAATTTTTCAGTTAAAGTAAATTCTATAGCAACTCCTTTAATATATTCAAAATTATATATCCCATCAAAACTTAATACGAGAAATTTTTTTAAAATTTCATTAAATTCATCATCATTAAAATCTGATTCCAAATCTTCTATGAATCTTGGTATTCCCGAAACACATTCACAATGATAATAAGTCAGATTATAATTATAATCAATATTGTAAATTGAATTTTCAAAATCTTTTTTTTTATTTTTGTCTTTTGGTTTGACATTTAATTTAAGACGATAAATGACTGTTCCTTTTTTAAGATTAAGAGGTACTGTCGTGTTTTGAGCCATGTTCACGGTATGACAATTTAAATTAAAGTCGTACTTTTCCACATTTTTTTTCTTATAATTAATTTTGTTGTTAACATCTGTTCGAGATACTTTATCATCTGTTCGAGATATTTTATTATCTGTTTGAGATTCTTTATCATCTGTTTGAGATTCTTTATCATCTGTTTGAGATTCTTTATCATCTGTTTGAGATACTTTATCATCTGTTTGAGATACTTTAATATCTGTTTGAGATACTTCATCCATTCGAGATATTTTATCCTCTATTCGAGATACTGCTATAAAAATAAAGTATTCGCCACTTGGATATTTTTGTAGATTTGACAAATCAATGGACCATTTATATATGTCATTTTTATCAATGGAAGAGGTATTAATTTTTGTTTCGATTTTACTATCAGATTCAGATTCGTAAAGCTGATCAATAGTTAAATTATTATTGATTTTAAAACAAGCGATCTTTTCAGTGATTTCATTGGACACGTTGGGCTTGTCTTCTGAAGAAGTCTCGTTTTCATTGTCCTTGGAGATTACAAATGGTCTATAATCAGTATTTTTTAATACTTTAATTAAGAGATTTACTAATTTATGAGACAAGAAAAAAAAAAAATTTAATGTGAGCAACGTTTCAAATGAGTTCAAATAAATAAATAAATAAAGGGAAAGAAATATAACCCGTATCAAATGTGACAACAAATCTTCCATCTAGACTAATTGCGATTTGGTAATGGTTTATTGTTTTGGAAGAAGGTGGTGCTTTTGCGTAATTACTGGAAGATGCACTACTAAAAGTTTCTGACATTTTATAAAATTATTTTTTTTGAAAGTTCAATAATTAATTTTTTGATAAATGATTAAAAAAATAGTGTATTTATAATAATGACGATAAATCTTACCGCAGCGATTCCTACTATGAAATTCCGTCATAGTCATCATAGTCATGGGCTATAATAATAATGTTGAAAGTGAATTATTTCATACCTGACGTAATTATTTTTAATTATTTTAGGGGAAAAAAGAAGCTTTATCTCCGATTTTCAAGAATTTCCTAAAAGAGGTTTTATTCTAAAATAGGAAACAAACAAAGCGACTTTTTATGTTTGTCTCAATCACGAGATTCAACTTTATAAAAAGTTAATTTCAATTATTTGTATACTAAATATAAGAAAATAAGCTTTTTTTTTTTTTTTTAAAAAAAAAAGGCTGTATTGCTAGTTTAGAACGAAAAAATATGTTCAGCTTCTTTAAATAAAAAAAATACAAATACAGTACATACAAATAAAATTTTACAGTAATAGTAAATATTCTGCAAGTACTCGTGCTGATAGCCGTTCCACAAAAATAATTTTTTTCAGCTCGAAAAAATTTGTCGTACAGTACATTTATTATTGTTTCAATTAATTGTTACAAACAATAGAAAAATTACAATTTATTATTCTAACATTCTGCATTCTGTTGTGAAATATGTGAATAAACAAAAAAAAAAAATTGAATTATGACATCAAATAAACACAGTTCTCGTGCCTATCATTTCCAAAAAAAGGAAAGTTTGAAAGATATAAGTCTGTGCGTCATTACACGTTCAATGCACAAGGTAAATCTTTTGAAAGTGATTTACTAATTTCACTAATCGGATTTGCATGTTTTATAATTTAAAAGTTTGTGGCGAATGAAAGGGAAATTACCTCCGGCGTAAAATGCAAATTTCTTAACCTATTGTATGTTATTATAAAAAATCATTTTACCCAAAATATCTTAGCTTCTGAATATGTTTTCTTTGCACCAATTGGTTCATAGTATAGTCACAATAATTTCACGTGGCCAAGAAAGTAAAAGAAAATGTCGCCAATATTAATATCACATATTTCATAATAACTCGAATGTATACGAAGTATACAGTATTTTTCAAAAAGTAAATGAAAATTTTATGATCTTAAAATTATAAAAGTAAATCATTCATAATGCATGACAGAATTTACCGTCTCCTAAAAATGACGAGTGCTATATATTTTAACATATAAGGATTCTTTTTTCTCGTATATTCAATGGAATACTTTACAAAAATATTTTTGACAATTTAGGGCGAAATTTTTTTTTTGTAAAATACAATATTTCTAGTCATTTTATTTTAATGTTACCTTTATTTCTTATTTTTTTTTTGGAATTTTTGTTTGACAAAATATTCTTTAAAGATTAACGTTATATTTACAGAGTAGTAAATGAATAAATGAAGATCACATAATAAATATGTTACCCGAATACACTTTGCCCCAATAAAGTTCATAGTAGCTAATTCTAATCCTCTTAATGTATTTTAAATTCATAGTAATAGCTTCAGTAAAATAGTTGTATTAAATATTCACAAATAATTTCCTCAAAATTTGGTGAAATAATAAAATAGATACTGTAAATCTGTAATGTACAAAATGTACAAGCAGTAAGAGTAAATTACAAACAAAAAAATATTGTCCAGAGCGTAGCGAAAGACATTCTATTGTTATGCACTAGACGACTAGACGTCTAGACGATTTAATAGTTAACCCATGTATTATTCCTCCCTTCTCATTCACCTACGTCATCCTTGTTCACCCCTGCATCTTCCTTTTTTTGATTATATCACCTTTTTTTGTAACACTGATAATTTGCTATTTTTCGTAATCAATTTTTTTTGTAATAAAAAAAAGATCCCGAGTAAATAAACGTAACGGACTTTAATGGTTACCATTTATTTTCCTAGTATATTTGTACACGTTATATCACTTATATACATATTTTCTTTTCAACAAAAATATAAAATAATCAATTTCTTTATATAACCAAATGTACTCGTTTTAATTTCATAATTAGTTGCCCTTTCTCACTGTTTCAAATTTTTAAATTTTGCTTTCTTTGAAATGTGAAATTGATCATGAGATAATGCAAATTAACGCTGACCAGATTTATGAATTATGACAATTTAGATCAATTGTTTATATACAGAACATAAGTTATTAAGTATTAGTAAATGATTTTTTTGCAAATTCTTATTAAATAACATTTTGAAAATCTTGTCTTTATCATTCCAATTAATCATAAAGTGCCATGTACAATTCTACAACGTTCAAACTCATAAAAATTATGTCATTTATAACTGACCTATCATATCTTGTGAGGCTTCAATCATATTATTGACATTAAATAAGCAAAGCAAGTATGGTATTATATGGTATCATTTATGTGCAAACTGGACTGGAAGGTAACCACCATTTAACTGTAAATCACGTGTATTATATTTACTCTAAAAGATGAAGTAAATTTGAATATAATTTTAGATATTTGAATCTCAGATGGACATTCGTACTTAAAATTCGTTATATGTAAAAAATAGTTCAAACCCACATAATATTTAAGGTGCTAAAAATGATCAGTATATTTGAATCTCATTTCTACATTCATGAGTATAATATGAATATCCATAATTCTCGCCTGATAATAAAATTTCAGCAGTTCCTTATTTGAGATTAACGTCCTGACACTGCCTATCTTGTATAGATTTAACTGACTACCATTTTTATTCCAACAGCACAGGAGACTCTTAGTAAGGAATGAGGTCATTATAAATTGTAATAGGTTAGGTAGGTAATAGGGGCTAAAGGATTAGGGTTTAGATATGAATGTTTAAAAGTAAGGGGTAGTTGAACGTGATGTATGACAACAAAAAAATTTTGCATAAGATTATTTATTGCAATGACTCATAATGACTCATGATAATTTTTTTTTTTAATGAAAAGGTATTTTGAGATAATTAACTGTTACCAAATATTGAATTATTATTATAATCTCTAAAAATTATTTTTGATAAATATTTTTTTTATAATTATTTTTTTAGTCTTAAATAAGAACTATACATTAAATATATTTCATTATTTTATTAATTAATATTTCTTATTTACAATTCATTTTAATTACAATGTCTGTTCCTCATTTATCTAAAATTGCTCAAAGGCTTTCATCTTTAGTTGAAAAAAGTAAGAGTACTTACAGAAATTGGCTTTAAAAAAAAAACTGTTTTTATTTCTTTACTGGAAATTGGGAATGTGAACTGAAACTTTATACATATTAGGCAGTCCTGTTACTAAAATCTTAAGTAAATACTCCAAAGAGATCAAGATTGTCAGCATTGCCTCCACTGGATTAGGAAGTGTTGTGGGAGGTACTCTTTATGCTATGGATTATGTGATCAAGTCAAATTTAATTTCAGTTAATGAAGTAGGCAAACAATTAATTATTCTGTTTCAGTTTGTCATTCTAAAATAATCTACATATTAGACAAATAAAAATGGATGGAAATTAATTAACATCTTTCGTCTTAATTTTGTCTTAATTTAGAAGATCAATGGACTTGACAAACGAATTGATAGAGTTGAGAAAAAGAATGATGAAGTTGAGAAGAGATTTAATGAAGTGAGTATAAAAATTGATAATTATATTTTTTTTTTTTTTAAGAAATTGCTAATATTATGTCTCAATTTAGAAATTCAATAATATTGAAAGTCGTTATGGAAACTTTGGAGAAAGATTAGCAAGGATTGAGGCAAAAATTGAAAATAATAAATGATGATAATCAGGAATAAATTGTAATCAATTATTAAATAAAAATATGATCATATTTTAAAATATTTTGTTAAAAAATTGAAAAATTGCTGTTATGTTTGCTTCTGTTTTAAACCAGGCTAGTACCCATGTTACACACATATATATATTCTTTTTTAATGTTTATATATATATAATAGAATAAATTTACACTTATCATTAATAAGTAAAAGTAAATTACATACAAAATAATCAAAAACTAAATAATCACTATAAAAAGAACTACTCATATCATAAATTTTTCTGCTGTTTCGTATCATTAAAGAATTCCTGAATTTAATTGTCAACGATCTAAGTCTAAATGAATTATTATTAAAATTTATGCCAAATTTATTTTATTTAAAATTTATAGTTTTATTAATTAACAAATTATTATAGTAAATAAAACATAAAGCAATAAAAAAATATTTTTCATTAACCCTTCAATTCATATTCAGAAAAAATTTCATCTGTGATCATACTTTTCTACATCTCAATCTACATTATATGATCCATAGCTTTACATATTATACTTTAGAAATTATCATTTTTCCCAATAAACCAGAATTCAATAAAATTTCTTTTCTCTGTATATGATTTTCTACGACAGAAAAAAGTCATTCAAAAGTTATGGAGGTAAAGGTAGTAGGGATTACCCTAAGTATTTTTGTCAATTAAAAAGAGAATTGTAAATTGATCGTTAGTTGATTTTTTAGGTTTTTCTTCGACATATTTCAAGTTTTTGATAAAAAATATTTTATTAAAAAACAATAATCAGATTTTGAAATGAATTCAAATAATAAAATTTCTTGTAGAGGGATTTTTAGACGAATTCAGTAATTACTTGTTTTACTTCCTTAATTAGATTATTCTCACCATCAACAACTAGATTCAAGTCTAAAAAAGAAAAAGGATGTTTCATTAATATCAAAAGTGATAAAATATAAAATAATTTAATTTATTACTCACTCTTGATAAAATTTTCTTCGGTTAATCTTTGGACAGTCTTTCAGGTAGTCATATCACAGTCAAAATTGGCACCGATTGTACCTGTTTTGCTTACCTTTTCTTTTATTTGAACGTTAAAATAGTCGACATTATTAAGTATATAAATCCTTATGAAAAAAATTTATTAATAATAAATATTGTATTATTTAATTAAGCGTATTCTGCTAACATGAACAAAAAACCAATAAAATACAATTTTACAATACAATTATTATAAAAATATTTATTTTAGTTATTTAACCAAGTAAGATAAATTCTCGATTTGGTGATAATACTTTGCTATCAGGTTCAAGAATATTTTCACTAACATGGCATTGCAGAATCTCAACATAATGTATATCGTAGTTATCTTGTCTATCTGTTATGTATTCTCCCGTGGCTTTAATTGGATAATAAATTGATGGGAGTGTTGGCAGGACTTCAACTCTGTCATTAGATTTTCAAACACTTAACATTACCGCACGAAGAAACTGAAAATACCATCATTGTTGAGTCCAGTTCGTCTCAGTAATCCCTACAAGAAAAAGAAAAATAAGTAATGTTAAAAATACTACTAAAAAAACAAATAATAAAATATTTTCTACCCAAAGTCTAGTTTATAATTTCGTCTGGAACTCCTACAAAAGAAGAAAGAAAATTGAAAAAAAAGAAGATAAACTAAAGAAAATCACCTCCAAGAATTGAACTTGGACACAGAAATTGTGGAACCAACGGTGATGGATTTTGTTGAGTTGATAAGTTATTAAGGAAAGAACTCAACAAAGGAATGAAATAAAGGATATCACATGTGAAGAAGAAAATCACATGAGATAGATCAAATGATCAAAGAAAGATAAATGTTTACAAGACAAAGGATCTCTCTGACACCAATTAAGGGCGATGCAAATGATCCCCTTGTAAAA